ACATGAAAGCTTTGGAGGGGATCGAGTGGTGGAATCTCACCCTGCTCCTAGTCAGAGCAGCCAGGAGGTGTCCAGGTGGGGAGAAAGACAGCTCCCTAGGCATCCTAGATGATGGAGGAGGGCGGGAACCTTCCTGTTTTGCTCACACCGACTAGCCAGAGGCTGGTACAGGAGGTACAGCCCTCAAGCAGCGTCCAGGGAGAGGAATCCCAACCCCCTCCCCATTTCTAGCAGCTGGGAGCAGCCGACGGGGCCTGTCCCCCTGGACCTCACGGGATGCCCCCTTTGTATTCCACAGCAACCTCTGGCTAGTGGGTTCCGGCTCCCGCACTGGGAGTGGACAGGGCACATCGGCACCAATACTAGCAGAATGATGGAACACAACCAAGCAGGGAAGGACCTGCACTGGAAGTGGACAGGGCCCATCAGAGACCCCAGGCGTGGCACAGTCTGAGCACATCCCAGAAGGCTTGTCCCACCCCATCCCCCTGTCCCTGTGTATTTCCTGCTCCTGCCCTTCTAACATAGCAGCTGCCTGAAACTCCCCTTTGTGTATCCCACCTGGGCTAGAACCAGCCTCAATCTCTGTCTTATCCAACGCACAGGCAGCTATTTATATACGGCGGAACAGCTTCCGGGAGTGGCACTGAAAGAGATGTCCCCTAGAAAACCCCGGAGCCTCGTGCACCGAATCTTGATGTAACTCGCACACCCAGGCTACGTCTACGCTCGCGGCTTCTTGTGCAAGTATTTCCATTCTTGTGTGAGAATTGTACCCTAGAAAACCCTGGAGCCTCGTGCACTGAATCTTGATGTAACTCGCACACCTAGGCTATGTCTACACTCACGGCTTCTTGCGTGAGTAATATGCAAATGAGGCTAAGCGTGGAATATCGCTGAGCCTCATTTGCATACCGAATGAGCCACCATTTTTTTCAGAAAAGGCTCTTGCTCAAGAAGGAGCGTCTACACTGCCCCTTCTTGCGCAAGAAAACCCATCCCCTCCTACTGGCCAGTCACCTGAACCTTGCACCTGTCCCCTCTCCTTGACCAGACACCTAACCCCAGTCTGCCCCGACCCCTCTTCTCTGGCTAGATACCCTTCTCCTAGCCTGCTCCTGCACCCTACCTCCCACCCAGATCCTGCACTCCCATTCCTATACCAATCCCACTCACTAGCAGCTCTGTCCCATACAATGGAATCCTCATTTTTGGCCTCACCCCAGAGCCTGGGGGTAGAAGGGAGGAGCACAAAATCCACTAACCCTGGCATCTGGATAACAGACCCAATAACTTCTTACCAGGTTAATGACTGTTATTAATACCTTCTAGCATAAGAAAACCCCCATCTCAGGTCTGCCTACCATTGCAGTATGGTTTAAAATGATGGCACTGAGTGACTTCTCTCACTGATAGAAAGAAATGAAATAGGAATAGTCAGGTGAACAGGAACACACACCCAAAGTCCCTGGCTCGGGGAGCTCCAGACATGGGAAGCAATGATAATCAAGGAGGTAAACAGTGGGGAGAAACAGAGCCTTTGGCACATGGTAGGAGCACACAGATACTCTGGGATGGGGGAGGGGTTTGCAACCTTGGGCCCATCATACACCTGGACTCTCTGTCCTGAGCTCCTCATGTACCCACATCCCATTTCCAGGCCCCTGACATAACACTCCTATACCCCCTCGTCCTGGGCCCATCACACACCTGGACTCCCTGCCCTGAGCCCCTCATGCACCCACATCCCATTTCCAGGCCCCTGACATAACACTCCTATACCCCCTCGTCCTGGGCCCATCACACACCTGGACCCCCTGCCCTGAGCCCCTCATGCACCCACATCCCATTTCCAGGCCCCTGACATAACACTCCTATACCCCCTCATCCTGGGCCCATCATACACCTGAACTCCCTGTCCTCATGCACCCCAACCCAGTCTCCTGCACCAGGGTTTCCTCTAAGTTTTTCCATCCGTGAGCGGAGTGAGTTTTGTTTTGTGCACCAATATTGAGGTCATGTGCACTTCTTCGGACAGGTTATTAACAAACCACTGCGGCACCCGAGTTATTAACAAACATCTTACCTCTATTTTGTAAAATGGTATGGAAGAAAGAACACTACAACACGGGATGCTTAACCTGTGCATGGCTTCAAATGTTGATTGACTATGAAGTCAAAGACAAAAAAAAAATGAACACTGCACTATTTTCAATAGCCAACTGTCTCTGTTTAGAGCCCTCTCCCAGACTCTCCCCCCGACTAGACGTGGAGTAGATGATCTTCTTTCCCGGCCTATGATTCTGTGATCACCCTCGGCGTTCAACACACCAAAAGGACATTAGCGGGTTTGCGAGCAATCGTTGAAGTCTGAGCTCTAGCAGAGAAGTGTGAATGACGGCATCTCTCGGCTTTTGTTAGGGGACCGAGGCATGACCATGGTGCATGCAGGAGCGCTGAAAGCGTGAAAGCCGTATCTCAGCCCCTATGCGCTGTCTGTATTTTCCACCTTGCCAGAAACAAGTCCCGCTGCTGCGGTATGTTAGAGCAAAGCTGTTCCAAGTCTGCCCCACCCACCATTCCATAGAAGTCATAGGAGGCCAAGAAGACGCACAGCACAACCAGGTGCCAGACTGGGCGGGGGGAAGCGGGTGCCACTAAGACACAGAGAATTGAGACCTTTCTGGCTACGTCTAGACTGGCATGGCTGTTGAGGACAGCAGGGGGCACGTGGCAGACCTATGGCCAGAGGTCCGAGAAGGGCTCCTGCCTCGTGACCTTAGCAGCCTGCATCTGCTTTAAGGGGGCTCGGGTTACCAGGAAGTCCGTGAGCTGACTGCGGCTACGGAGTCTCCAAGCAGCCACTAGGGCTTTTTTCCATTTAGCCTGTTTTTGCGCAAAACGTCTTAGCTGCCTGTCTACACTGGCCCTCTTGCGCAAAATCATTTCCGCCAGAGAGCTTTTTCCTGAACTGGAGCCTCAAAGCATTTATGCAAGAAGCACTGATGTCGGACAGTAGAACGTCAGTGCTCTTGAGCAGAATCAAGCGCCCAGTGTAGACAGCTGGCAGGTTTTTCCACACAAGCAGCTGCTTTTGCGGAAAAACTTGCCAGTCTAGACACAGTCTTCTAAGTTCTGGCCCAAGCGAGGGGGCATCATTTGAGCTCCCCGCCTCAGGTGCCAAAATGTTGTGGGCCGGCCTTGGGCACAGTACTGCTCTAGTTCTCCTCCAGAATGCCCTTATCTTGGGAACTTTAGGGGGCAGGACCACAGCATCATTTCATCGGCTCTTAGCAAGATAGGGAGCCCCCTCCCTACACTGGGGGCAAGACATAAGAACGGCCACACTGGGTCAGACCAAAGGTCCATCTAGCCCAGTGTCCTGTCTGCTGACAGCGGCCTATACCAGCTGCCCCAGAGGGGGGGAACACAGCAAGGAATCCTCACGTGATCCCTCTCCTATCACCCACTTCCAGAGAAACAGAGGCTAGGGACACCATTCCTACCCATCCTGGCTAATAGCCATTGAGGGACCTAACCCCCATGAATCTCTCTCGCTCTTTTTTGAACCATTACATTTCTAGCCCTCCCCACGTCCTCTGGCAAGGAGTTCCACAGGTTGACTCAGACCCAAGCAGGGAAGTGAGATCACTGCCTTTAGGGTACCTTTGTGCCACCCGCGTACAAAAAGGCCACATTGCACATTGCTCTGCGCCCCCAAGGCAGAAGGGAAAAGCAACTCTAAGGCTGGGGACGACCCCTTCCCCCGCCCGCCCTCATATTTTAGCTGTTTTGCCTGCTGCTTCAAACACCGATTGCAGCCAAGTCCTGTCCTGCCTCCACAGCCAGGGCCAACATCAGCATGTCTGGTGTCCTGGCGGAGCTTCTACCTCTCTGAGTGCTGGCTCAGGCATTTTTGGGCCCCGGCCTCATGGTTATTTGAAGGCCTGGCTTTGGGGACGCTGCCTGGAATGTTAAACAATCTCTACCAGCCCCCATCCCTCCGAAGCCTGACGGCGCATGCTGGACCGCCCTGCCCCCGCCCACGGCTTTGGTTGAATTCTCGTCTCCAGCGGTGAAAGTAACTTAGCATTTCTTACAGGCGCTGCCCTATCGCAACCCGGGGCCCTGTCAACTTTCACTAGCTCCCAGCTGGCTTTTGCCGCGGCTCAGCCAGCGCGTGCCGGAGCGGCACACCACAGCGGACCCGCGGCCTTTCACCTCTGTGCTTCTCTCTGTGGCTATGTCTAGACTGCAGGCTTCTTTCGAAAGAGCCTCTTTCGAAAGCATCTTTCGAAAGAGCCTCTTTCGAAAGATCGCGTCTAGACTGCAGGCGGATCTTTCGAAAGAGCAATCCGCTTTTTCGAAAGAGAGCACCCAGCGAGTCTGGATGCTCTCTTTTGAAGAAGCCCTATTTACATTGAAGAACGCCTTCTTTCGAAAGAGGAACTTTCGAAAGAAGGCGTTCTTCCTCGTGAAACGAGGTTTACCGCCATCGAAAGAAAAGCCGCGTTCTTTTGAAATAATTTCGAAAGAACGTGGCTTGAGTCTGGACGCAGGGGAAGTTTTTTCGGGAAAAGGCTACTTTTCCCAAAAAAAAACCCTGAGTCTGGACACAGCCTGTCTGTGCCTTGACTGCTTCTTAGATTGTCAGCTTGTGAAGAGGACCTGCTCTTTTTGCCTGTCCACGAAGTGCCACGCATGCTGTCCGGGCCATGCAAATAAGAGAACCAGGC